TCTCATTCCGGAATTCACAATCTGATTCGCGAACGACAGAAACTGATAATAAAGATGTCTCAGCCCCTTTTTCTAATTGAAACTAATTTAATAATTTTAATATTAGTCTTTTTTCATTCTCGGTATATCTCGGAATATTTAAAATATTTTTATGACAATAAATACAAAATTTAATTTTCACTGTAGTTAAAATGTCTGAAAATACTAACCTGGAATGGCAATTATCATTTTATCAGTTGACATTGTGAAAGTACTGTCACTGTCATTATCAAGATCATCTGTGTCATTATATTTATATGCATAATTGATTGGATATCTATTTAGCGTATTCTAAACTCCAACCAATTATACGTTCGTAAGTAGAACTCGCTTTAATATGCGAATACCCGTGACCGATACCTAATTTTCTAAGTTCTATGTATAATAATCAGAGACTCACGTTTTTTTCTGTCACTTTCTGCGTTAGAGAGAATTCGAACAACTATGACGCACTGAAAGAAGGGTTTGGGACCACGGTTCCTTACTCTACGAACCGTGGTTTGGGACGGACATTCCTTGAAAGATCCTTTACGTCATAAATATCTTAAACCAGCAGTGGCGCGCGGGAGGTAAATAAAATGGTACGCCAATTTAAAAATTATTAACTTAAAAATGCTTACTAATATTAAAGAGTTTTTTACAGAAGCCAATCATATTTTTGGGATATAAATGATGCATTGCTAAATATTTCACTCTTGTTTTAATAAGAATAGGCGTATTATTATGCTTATGTCTTCTTTTTGTGAATGTTATATGTGCTGATTTAATTGGGTTTACCTTTATTTTCCATTTGTTTAGTTAATGCAGTAGGTTGAGATGATTCTAAGATTTTTCAGTAGCTCCTACTGCATCAGCCACCGAGGTCAAAATTTTAGTGTCATCTGTGAATGTTGCTATTAAGCCGCGTTTTCACGATGGCAATTGGCGAGACAATTGTCATTGGACAATTGTCATCACGTGGTTTCGGATTGTCGGAGGCCAGTCCAGTTGGACGAGAAGATGTTTATACGGGGCCAACTATTGCCATGGCAGTAGACAGCTAAAATATGACAACTATAATATGTTTGTGCGTCACAGTGTTGCCACATTTTTTTGTATAAAGTATAGGAGTTTTTAAAATAGAAAGATACTTTGACGAAATTGTATATAATGTTTTAAAAAACTTATACAGAAGTAAAATGCTTCACACTTGTATTTAGGTATTATATATACTTAGATAAATGTGAAATTTAGATAAATGTAAACACAATTGGTATAAAGTAGCAATCTTATATTGTAATAAATTAATAAATGAGCAAATAAATAAAACAAAACAAACATTACTTACATGCCGGTACTCTATTAATTGATGGATGGTAGGTCATGGTTGCAAAAATCATGTATTGTTGATTGGAGAACTTTAATGTGCTATTGCAGTTGTTTTGACAATAAACGGGAAGTTCTTGAGGAGAACAGATTTGATCCAATGAATTAGAGATAGGTATATTGTGGTTGTTTGTCAGATGAAAGTGATGTTCTTTACTATTGTATTATTTAAATTATTTACACTTATATCAGAGATATATTTTTTGGAATGTGTGTTATTTATTGATCACAATCAATAGTACCGGCATGTAAGTAATGTTTGTTTTGTTTTATTTATTTGCTCATTTATTAATTTATTACAATATAAGATTGCTACTTTATACCAATTGTGGGTCTTACCTTGTCTGTTAATACCTTTTATATATTCAAATTATTCATTTTGAAAACCACAGACATGTAATATTGGCATAATTACTATAATTTGTATGAACTAATTTATTTGTTTATTTTATCTTTATGAGACACCACCCTAATTGGGTTTATTTTATTGCAGCATTAGTTTAACTTTGTATCTCGACCTGAAGATGCTTTGCAAATTGTAGAAAGCGAAACCGGTCGTCAGATTGTTAAATTAAATTGATTGTGAGGAAGTCTTATTATTATTTCTTTACCTATTTGATATGGACTCACACAAGCAACACATTCATGATATATATATATATATATATATATATATATATATATATATATATATATATATATATATAAAAATCTTGCCCATAATTTTATATATGAGAGTATGAAATAATTGAGTAGGTATATGTCAACACTGACGTATATTAAGCTTACATTTAACGTCAAACATATCTATAGGTTATGTTCATTGTACGAAAATTAAATTTAACCCAAATAACACAAATTACTACTGGCAGCACTACTGGCCTACAGCGTTCACACGGCACCAATTGTCGCGACAATTGAGATTTCGAGTGGTGGAGGGGCTAACTGGGCGCAGCTCATTGTCCTCAGTCTACTCCCGGAGACAACTGAATTTTACAAGGATCTACAGACCGAGAATTTGGCATCCAAATTCCACTGATTCGCGCAATCGTACTTGTAAGTTCGTATGGTCGGCTGGAGTTACAATTTGCCAAATTTAAATGTAATCGTTTCTACTCATTCATATTAATATTATAATGTATAATATATTAAAGTTTTTAATATTGGTAATATTATTAAAGCTTTTAATACTATTTTTTAATATTAAGAATAATATTAAGTAATTAAATATTGCGTCTTACTTAAAAAAAGTACGAGATAAACTCGTTTTTTATATCTTTACGTATGCTAAGGGTAATAAATTAAAATCCTTCAATACAAGACTAAAGGTAGGTACCTATAATTTGAATAAGCTGGTTTTGCCCATACTGACTTTCTAATTCTAATTACCTACTAATTTGCATAACAGTCAGATATTGTACCTGGTCATAATGCTGTTTTAATATTAGGATTTTCATTTCGCTTGTTGAAACTTCATCCGATATTAATTTCTTGGAAATTTTTATAAGGCTGAGAGTACTTAATCGGAATACTCGAGTATTGTTGAAAAAAACTGAAATTGAAGGTACTACACAATCGAAGAACTCAAAAAAATTAAACATTTCCGGTATTCTTTTTCCAGATCGTATTTTGTTTTCGAGATATATTTAAATTTGGTAATTTTTTATTATTTTTCCACTTTTTTCAGGTTCTTTTTTAATTTAATTTCAGTATATAAAAGCCTTTACAATATTATCCAAATTTTATTTGGAAGTTAATCTTAACTGTTCAGAAACAATTTGCTATTTAGGAAATGAAAGTTTGTTTTTTTTTCCTTAGTTCTTAATTTGCTATAACATTTCTCATTTGATTTAATAAAAAATATTGTAAATTCATTTTTTTGAATAATTATAACGACTTACATCCGAGTAGCTTAACACAATTAAAGAAAATATAACGAATACGCTCACGACTCGGAACTGAGTCTTTTCTTCTTTTCGCATAAAATATTACAAATTTATTTAAAATACCCTTTATTTAATATATACTTTATTTATTCATCACAATTAAAATAAAAATACTAGTCAGCACAGCGGTTGATTTCCATGAAAATACGCTAAGCAGTGATAATGATTGCATGTACCTAAGTTAATATTTTTGTCTTTTGGTTGGTGTTATATTGGAAATTTCCCCTCTCAAGGCATTTGCAAGAAAATTGCACTTTCATGTAAAAAACGACTTATTTATCTCACTTTTTTTAAGCAAGGCGCAATATTTAATTACTTAATATTAATATTAATATTAAAAAATAGTATTAAAAGCTTTAATAATATTACCAATATTAAAAACTTTAATATATTATACATTATAATATTAATAATAATGAGTAGAAACGATTACATTTAAATTTGGCAAATTGTAACTCCAGCCGACTATACGAACTTACAAGTACGATTGCGCGAATCAGTGGAATTTGGATGCCAAATTCTCGGTCTGTAGATCCTTGTCTGAATTTTGGGCCAATTGTGAGGGCAGTTGGCAAGGCAATTGGCCTGAAGTGTTTACACGATGACAATAATTTCATGCCAGTCAGTTGTCTTTTGACAATTGTCTCGCCAATTGCCATCGTGAAAACGCGGCTTTAGTGTGCCATCGGTGAAAGGGCCGGAAGTACGTAATAGATAAAGAAATGGCCCAAGCACGCTATCCTGTGGTACTCCTACCGTTATTTTATGGTAATCAAATAATTCACCATAACTTGGAGGTCATGTTGATACCTATACCTACTCTTTAAATATGTGTCCTATATATAAACTATTGAGTGGGATATCATGTTTTTCGGTCAAAACCAGAACTTTTTGACCAAAAAACCTAATATACCTCCCACTAGTTTATTTATTAGATGGTCAATAAGGTAAGGAAAATGAACTTATTGATTTTATTGATCTCAAGTATTTGCATGCGGTTTCTTGGGAATTGTGATAAATAATGATTTGGTCTATTCCTGAGCGAATTTACCACGATCATTATATGTTGCCGAATATTGGTAGTATCATAACTATATATTGACAGTCCATTTTGCACATCAATATTAAGTTCTCCGTGAATACCATTTGGGTCAGGTGCCTTGTTATTATTTAAGGATGAACTGATGATATTGGTATTTCGTTTGGTGTTCGTTTTTTAGAGTTCTCCATTTGTTCTCCGTTTGAGTCATTAGTTCGAAATTTTCGCTGGTCATTCATTTTTTTGTTCTGAGTTTGTCATTTGTTTTCAGATATTCGTCTAATTGGATATGTGGTGTTTAAGGAATTTTGGAGTATACCCTACAGGTTGTCGCTTTTTTCTTCTCCTTTTCGTTTATTTTCTGGTTAATAATTCCTCTATTATCTAGTTGACGCCTAATCAGTCAAGTACTTTAGGCTCTGGATTTTTGACCATTTGGCTGTTTAGTTCTGATCTTTTCCCTTTACGGTTTTCTTGAGTCAGAATCTTAGATTTTTATAATACAGACATACTATTATACGGAGCTATTATTATACATTATATTAAGTAAAAACTAATTCTATATTTATACATTATATTAAGTAAAAACTAATTCTATATGTGGTACTCACCTCAGAAATTACTTTTTCTAAAATTGAGAGATCTTCTGCAACACTATGAGGTATATTCATAATGGTTTTAGTGATATTTATTAGATTGTATTTTTCAACTAAATTATTTAAATCTTTTTCCATAATATTAAGTTCCTTTAAAATATTCTCCACCGAATCAGTCTAAAACATGTAAAACATGTAAAATTTATATATATATATATATATATATATATATATTATATATATATATATATATATATATATATATATATATATATATATATTATGAAAACAGAAATACAATAAATTAATTTAGAAATATATATAACCAGATATGCAGTGTTGATTAGTAGATTTATTTAAATAGTGGTTAGAGACATAATTTGTAAGTTATATACTAGATAATATTATAAAAAAATAATTATATGAGGGTATTTTTAAGATTTTAGCATAAGAATTAAGTTTAAGAAATTTTGTTTATTTTATTTTATTTAATATTTAATATGTTTACTCAGCCATGTGCTATGCAACCAAACATACACTGTAGTGTCAAAGTCAAATAGTTATTTATTTTTGGAATATTAATTTAGAATATAATTGTGGATATAAAATTGTAAAAATATAGTTCATATAAATGTTTAAGTTACATATAATAGTGTAGTTCTGATCTGGAGAGCCTAAAGTCAAGTAAATTATAGATAGAAATCTCTAGAAATGTCAATGGGACTGGATACATAATACATAACAGACAAAAAACCATTCCAGAATTTTCAAGTAGAAAAAATAGAATGATTCCAACATTATTTGTTGCTAGAATATTTTGGAAAGAATGAAAAAATATAAAAAGTTATGTAATTGGAGTCAGTGAGCAGTTTTAGTTGAGTCAGTCAGTCAGTTTGAGTTAGCAGTTTAGTTAAGTTCAGTTCAGTTATCAGTATGATCATTTATCAGTTAGTAAAGTTATAATTCAAGAATTTAGTTACAAGAAGATTATTAATTAAGTTAAGATTATTAAGTCAGTTATTTATGAGGTTATAAAGAGATTCTTAGCTAGCAGAAGGCATTGATTAAGTTACATGAATTGTTAACTTAAATACAGTTGGAGATTAATTATTACTACAGTAATATAGTGACAGTTTGAAGTTAATTCATTGAAATAAGCATTCAATAATACAACCACAAGATCCAGTATATTTCAAAGTACATTAAGTATATGGAAATTACAAGGAGTTAAATATATATTTATATGGTGAGTGGAGATAATTCAGAAGGTAGATATTAACATAGTTGGATAACCAAGGCTTAGTAAGAAGATATCGAGTGGTGATAATAACTTTAATTTTGGAAAAACTTTAGGCGTTCAGTGAAAGAAGGTACCAAATTTTGTTAATAATTTAATAATTGTAAGAATTTCAAATTTTAGATAGATTGTTTTAAATTGATATTGCTTATATTTGATAGATAGGTTTGTTTCATAATATTTATAATAAAGATAATTTAAAAAAGTACTTACAAACTAATTCTTTGAGAACCGCGATAAAAACCCTATACTTACATATATCATTCAAATTTACTCATTGCTCATACAACAACAACACATCATAACAATATATGTACATATATATACATATATACATATATACTCCCGTGACACTACTAACCCCCTTGGCTTGGTGCCACTACCACTACTACTTTGAGGTTTATTGTTATTCAAGTAACGAACCTTCGTCGAAGACGTCGAAACAAAAAAAGACTTCATCAACTGTGAAGAAATCAAAGAAGTGCAAGAACCGGCATGTTCACTGAGAACGTTCCCTGCCAGCAAGATACGACCATTGAAAAAATAAAAGACAGTGGTCTTTAGAACTATTTCTAATCGTTTCGAACTGACAAAGTGTTTCTCAGGGCCGTTGATGGTAAAGAGCAAATAAAAGCCCCAAGTGGGCTTGGAATTGCTTTTCGATCCAGTGGCCAAGCTGCGATAACGCTTCGTCGCCCGAAACCTTATGTAAATATTAACCGTTCTTACAGGATCGAAAATATTGTTTACTAAGGATACTGACACGAAGCGAGGGGCAGTAGTAGAGTTAACACTGTCGGCATTCTTGTGCCTCTCGAGGAGAGTGAACGTGGCCACACAACGAAGTGAGAAGTGCCGGCATCTCTGCGGAATTCGAGGTATAGACTATGCCCAGAATACTAACCAACCATATATTCAGATTCATGTAAGATAAAGTCATTGTAAGAAAGTCGAACTGTGTGAGTAAAAGAAGCACAATTCGCTAAGGATTTCTGCTTAGTTGTAAAAGACATGTCGTGGAATGCAAATTTTAGATTCCTCATGTCCCTTTTAACATCTTTTATCAACGTCTGTTTGCCTTGCAATTTTTAGAAGGCTCAGATTATAAAGCAGAAATCTGAATTGTGTTTCGAAACTATTTTACGGATTTTATAATTAGATGTCGCTATCGCGTCCGTATTGAAGCCATTTTATTGTTGTCTCTTAAAAGACAGAAAATATTGATTTTTCACGTTGAGAACACCTATGAATAACTGTTCTAATGAGACCTATTAGGTCGAAATACGTATCACAACAGATACATAGGAGTTGTTTGCGTGAAATCAAATATTTGCTGTCTTTTTCATTTTATTTCGCAGATACTCTGTGTGAGTACAAGAAGCACAATTCGCTAAGGATTTCTGCTTAGTTGTAAAATACATGTCGTGGAATGCAAATTTTAGATTCCCCATGTCCCTTTTAACATCTTTTACCAACGTCTGTTTGCTTGCAATTTTTAGAAGGCTCAGATTATAAGCAGAAATCTGAATTGTGTTTCGAAACTATATTACGGATAAGAAAATAAATTTTGTTTTTTTTATTATTGAACTTTATGTATATCTGATACGTTAGAATCTATCAAATAATATGTAACTTACGTTGTTCTGTACACCATCGATACTTATATCAGGAATATTAAATGAATCTAAATAATCTATTATTTTTTTAAATTCTATAAACATTGTTTGTTCGGTACTATTCAATCCAATGATCTCGTTAATTGCCTTATTGTTATTTGTTTCTAATTCCTTTAGTTTGTTTTCTGCTTCAGTAATGTGCTTTTTTAGGATCTTGACTAACTCTTTTAATTCATCGAGTACATCGTAATGGTCCAACAGTTCATTGCCAATGTTTTCTAAAATAAAATAAAAAAAAAGAAATTAATTAGTACGTGTGGTTTAAAAGCAATTAAAGCAAAACACTAACTGTAAATTGTCACGGTTATTGACTAATTGATAAATATAATTACATTACTATTACTAAATTTTTTTTAGTAACGTAATTTTTCTGTGTCCACGAGAATGCATGTATGTAATTAAGCAAATGAGCTATATATCGAAAGGATAGCCAGACTAAAATGGAGATTAGCAGGACACATAGCTAGAATTACGAAGACCAAGGTAACACATGAGTAGCATCGGCCAATCATCTACACGATGGGCTGACGATTTAAGAAGAAAAAGTGAAAACTGGATAAGAGTGGCGCAAGATAGACGAGGTTGGAAACACGAGGAAGAGTCCTTTGATTAACAGTGGACTTTTGCGGCTGGATGATGAATTTATAATAAAAAGTTTATAAGTAATCTATTCATTAACATGCTTTTTAACATAATAAAAGCCTATAAAAAAATATTGTACGTAACACGATCCAAATCTTACGGGTGATCTTACGGAATTCGCCAGAGTCGAGGACTTCGCCTTTGGAAACTTCCTACTCTTCCTGTAAAATATCACTATCGGAAATTGTTACGTAAATTACTATTTAGCTACTCAAGCACATGGATAGTAGCGATATGCTAGACAGACAAATTTAAACAATATATCACAGTATATTGACTCTGTCCCTTATGCCAACAGAATAATAATTGATGATAATGAAACGTCTCTAACGTATGTTTTAAAATGTATTTGGAATTATAACGAGAACTAGTTCGATACTGATATAGTGTCTGAATTAATTCAAACGATTTTAATATATAATAAGACAATAAAAAATTACCGCTATTGAAAAAATGAGCTTAACAAATTCGATTCATGATTTCGTAAAATGAAAAGAGAAGGTAACGATTTTAATAAATTTCAATGGAGGTGAAAGGACGGGAATTAAGGACAATATTCTCTATCATATCTAACCTAATAAGAAGCATCCTGAAATACTTCAGACCCAAGAGACCAGCGTTAACACAAACCAAAAGCAAAATTAAAATCGGAATCCACAGCATACTTATACAGAAAAAGAATATCAGAGAATATCGCTGGGAATATAATTTAAAAAAACGATAACATCAAGGAAAGCTGAGAATAACTCAAAAATGACATAATTAACGCAGCGACAGAATCAGTTGAGAGAGGAAAGTAACACTAACATATCAATAAAGAAAACACCATGGTTTAGAGAGGAAGTAAAGACCAAATGTGAAGAAAAGAAGAAAGCCTTTTTACAATACAGAACGCAACAAATATAACAGGCATGTAACCACTATAAACGAATCAGAAATGAAACGAGTACTATAGTTAGACAAATAAGAAGAGAACACACTGACAGAACTTCTCAAAACAGATGGGAAACGACTTCTCCGGAACACAACAAGAAATATGGAGAATGAACTAATAAAAATGAAACACATTTAGAAGGAAACATGGGTAGATTACTTTCAATCCTTATTTGCTAAAGGTGACGATAAAGAACCACCAACACCAGAGGCGACGACAAACGAAGAAATAAATATTGAGGAGGAAGTGGTAAAGGAAGCACTAAGGAAATTAAAAAACTTAACTACGCGTCATTCCACTAAACTTGTAGAATGTACTTTAGAGACTTACTAATTAAAACCTCTATATCATAATAATATACCGGGTGGTCCAATAAGTCGATCTCTCGGCTATATATCAGAAACTATTTATGTTATAACTTTAGGAGAAAAAATTCCTTAATAAAAGTGGCCAAGAGAAATCGCTGGAAATAACAACTCTTTATTGTAAATTATAATGGAACTGAATTAAATTCTTAACAAAACGCATAAACATAAGTAAGTATAGTATTGACTCACCCTTTATTATAACTTAAAATTAAATATGTGAAAGATCATACAAATATCTCGATAATTAAAACTTAATGTCAAATTAAATGTTTAAATTGTTTTCCATCGTTGTCCACACAAAGATGTAATCTTTCGCTCGTAGACATAACAGCTGCTTCAATCTCAGCTGTTGATATACTATTTATTGCGTTTTTAATGCGATGTTTCATGTCGTCTCGCATGGTTGGTCGAATTTGGTACACTGAGTCTGGAGATCTATCTGGCCATGAAAATATACTTTCCCTTCCAATCCATTTATTTGGATAACTTGCATACAAATAATCTCGAACTCGTCTGGAAAAGTGCGAAGGACACCCGTCATATTGTAATATCATATCTCTTCTTGTTTTTAAGGAAATATCTTTCAATAAAATCTCCATCTACCTTGAACCTGCATCTCATGTATGCAGTACGGATTTTCTTCAGTCCAATAATGCATATTATCTTTCCATCAACTATACCACACCAAACATTAAGACTCCATCTACCTTGAACCTGCATCTCATGTATGCAGTACGGATTTTCTTCAGCCCAATAATGCATATTATGCAGATTAACACCACCCGCACTATTAAACGTAGCTTCGTCTGTCCACAAAATCTTTGTCATAATATGCGGTTGTTTTTCTAGCAGACCTAACATCCAATTGCAGTAATCCAGCCTTGCATCAAAATCTCTCTCATGTAAAGCTTGGTGAAGAAGTACATGATTAGGAGGCAGTATAAAAAAACAGAACAATAAATATTGGTGAAAAAGAAACCACTATATTTAATAAAACTCAAAAAATCCACAATTGTTTCACAAGATAAATCGTGCATAAGTATTTTTAAGAAACGGATGAAAGTGCCGTGTTGCCGTTTTTATCGGAATATGAAAATAACAGTTGAATCTAAAGTTTAAAGAGAATTCCAAGTTTCTGACCTAAACGTTCACTTTATAATATGAAAAACCAACCTGTGATGTTTTAAAATCCTTAGAACAGTAGTTTTGGGTATTTTTAATTCTATAGAGATTAGCCGACTACTGATATGTGAATTTTGTTGAATTAACGCAAGAACATTGATTGAATTATCTTCGGCCATACCTCTACTATGTCGTTTAAAACAAGGACCATGAAACCTACCAGTTTCTCTTAATTTTCTTGCCTTTATTTCAAATACTTCTTTGCCATAATGTCTCCTCTCAGGATATCTTACAGAATATATACGTGAGGCAATAGCGGCATTTTTGTGACATTCGAAATAAACTCCAATCATATATCATACAATTCTGCATTTGATATACTCATCACGAATTGTTAGTACTGATAATTAATTACTAATATTACCAATATTATTATCTATTGAACAAAAGGAATCTTCAATTCGAATCATAATATAACACTTTTTAAGAATGTTTTGACTGATGTCAATAAATAAACAATATGAACTCTCCGTCAAATTCATTGTCGTAGCCTACTTAGTTTCGAAAAAACTATTTTTAATCATATGGAATAACAATTTTCAAAATAGGTATCAACTTTAAGATTCTTCTGGTATAAAAAAATTTTAAAGTACCTACTGTCTTATTGTTTAATTTATAATACAGGGTGAGTCAATACTATACTTACATTATGTTTATGCGTTTTTATTCATATCTCGAGTTCGACAAAAGCTATTAACATGCGGTTTACGCCATTTTGTTACGAATTTAATCCAGTTCCATTATAATTTACAATAAATAGGTGTTTCTGTTTAACATTTTAAAGAAAAACAAATTTTAATTTTTTCAATTCGAAAGTACCGTCTACCTATGACAATTGAAACTAAATACAATTATTTTATAAAAGATGTAAATTAATTTATCTACACTCTTTCTAATGACACTAATTTCTTTAAAATCGGTTGTTCCAAACCAAAGTTATAGGTATTTATCCACAAATAGTTTCCCACTTTCCCCCACCCTTTATTTCAAAAAATTAAAAAAGAATTATTTGAACAACTTTGTGCGGAATTTAGGCCTCTTTCTAGTTTACTTATTTAACACTTGGTATAATTGGATATATTTCACAAAAAACTGGTTTTCAAAGTTTTCTTCACAGGTTACGCCCCCTGGCGGTTAATCCAGAAACTTGAAAGTTATTTCCAGCGATTTCTCTTCACCACTTTTACTAAGGAATTTTTTTTCCTAAAGTTATAACATGAATAGTTTCTGATATATAGCCGAGAGATCGGCTTATTGAACCACCCGGTACATACTGTTTGTTGTATTGTTTACTTGAAAACTATGGTAATGGTGCGAAAAGCACAACGACTCAGAAATACATCGATTTAACTACTTTTGTGCTTGTTATTTGTGATAATAAAATATTGCAGTACTGTCGTTAAAAGTTTGCAAAAACAATCTTAAAAAGCAATGACCCAATAATTTAAAAATAACTACTGGAAATTCACTTTTATTTACACATAATATTTTTGTTTAGTAATGATCTCCGGTGTCTCAGTCGCTTCCTACTTTTTTTTAAAATAATTCAAAAAAAAAAAACATTTATTTTGTATATTTCGGATATTTTTATCCATTTGTTATATTGATTTAAAAAAATGCGATAAGCTTCTTCGGTAAAACATTTTCTTTGAATTAGTAAATGTACAAAAAATAAAGAACATAATAAAAAATACTCGTATTAGATTTGATAAATATTCAAATATTAGTAGAGCCAACAAAATCATAATTTAAGAAGAACATAACATCAATAATCCATTGAAATGTTATTTTATTATGCCTTAGTGTGTATTTCTTAGAGGACGCAATTTTATTTTTTGGTGTATTGGAGGGTAAATACAGAGTGGCCCAAAAGTCTGGAAACGGCTAATTATCTCGTAAAATGCTAATCATAATTGTACAAAATTTGAGGTACACCTATTTTGGGATACGGAGATTCCATATTTCATATTTACAATGTTGCCAGATTTGCCGTTTTTCTTATATTATTAGTAACTTTGGTTTTTCAAATACATCACCCTGTATATTCAGTCATTATTGGAATCCCCTATTCAATACGAGTTCAACCATATGT